AATTAACATCAAACAACCATTAAGGACAGACAAACACACAGGCCTGTACTCCCTTGCTTGAACAGAATTAAAAAAAAAAAAAAAACAACAAAAAAACGTGACATGTCCCCCTTTAAACTTCCAGTAACTAGACAGGGCCTCCACCACCCAATATTCCGTTATCTCCCCGGCCTATTTCATCGGAATTAAACAGTATTTAGGCCTCAGAAGATACTGCAACCGGGTACTTTTATCCGGGCGAGAGAACAAAAGACCAGGCTGAACGGCCCCGTACACAACACTGCTAACAGCAGAACAATTCACCGTGCCTACCAGCAGCTATCAGGGTGGCAAAGACGTCTCGCGGCCGACCCGTTCCTCTAACTACGGAGGTGCAGCGAAAACTCAACACAAGAGATGCATCTCAAACACTTTTTCTTCAAAAGTACGCGTACTTTACTCACAAACCGCCAGAGAGCACATACTTAACTCCCTGCGGCGGGCAACACGTCGCAAAAAATAACGAATAATTCAGCAAGGTCGGACACACAAAAAACAATACAAAGACAGAACTCCAGACATTACACAGAGCCCATCGCTGCGACCGGCCGACAAAACCTCATATGAACCGCCCTGAGTCTCTGAGGCATAAAAATAAAAAAAAACAGAGATAAGTATGGCCAATAATACCCCTGCTAATTCAATATTAACCTTTAAGACTGAACAGGCCTGTTCGTGATCGCCATTTTATGTTGTGTCCGGCTCGGTTCTTCTGGGGTTGTCTGTCGGCGCTGCTGTTCCCTCAGTCTCCCCTCRTCTGGTGTTGCTCTCCTGGGTTGCTGGAAAATCACAGGGCGTCTTCCTGAAAACTTGTTGAATGTTAAAAACTCTTCGGCAAACACATGAATGAAAAAAGATGACGATAATCTTCAGCTTCTGGACAAGGTTTATTAGCGAGACAGTTGGGAACAGGTCATCACAGCGAGATGTAAAAGTGGACTGAACAAAGGGAGCGCACCCGCTCGGAGGCGCGTTCACATTTCTTAAAGGCACAGTACATAAAATCACTACAGTTACAAAGTTACTGCATTGTGTTTTATCAATTATTAATATATGTGTGCTAATTTCCAGCAAAGGTGTCTATATTTTAGACCTCAGTATCCTCTGAAAAGCAGTCTTCTAGATGGTGGACCTGTGCTCATGATCCAGCTTTTCACTTAGGTCTAACACCAGGGATAGATAGTTTTAACCTTGCTGGATTTCGCACCTAAAAGCTCTAATAAGAGGTGATCCGGTTGGATTATAACAATTCTCAGCTGCCACTGTTAGGTTTGCCAAATTGCTTCATCCAATGGGCCTCTTCACATATTCATATAGGCATACATTTACACACACACACCCGAGATCCCTGATTCTTTTCGAGTTCACCGACTCTGGGGCACCCCTTTAAAAACTTAGAAACATCGTTCTAGTTTTTAGTTTAACATGCATGAGCGACGCAGCATGTAGGACCTTAACCTATTTTATTTTTAGCTATTTTAGGCAAATATACGCTGATAAATTGCCGGGACGCAACACCCTAGAGTAAACAAAACGCCATTGTTTACTTCAGGATCTGTTAGGAAACGCCGTCCTACACGACCTAATCTTTTCACACAAAAGATTTTATCCTCACTTATCGTCAGTCTGGTGCAGGTTCGGAATCCTGGGCAAACCACCGCTGACAGGTGAAATCCCCAAGCCTATGAAATGTCAGCCCAGTTGAACAACGTTGGTCACCGGGGCTTTTCTTTCAGACCTGTTGGTCTTGCTGTGCACTGCTCTGCACACATGAGGTTGCAGATGGCAGCTGAGAGTTGCCTGGATTCCAGATCACGGCACCAAAAATGTTGGGGTGAATTTAATTACACCTTAAAGAAATAAACCAGACAGACAATTTTGATCAGATTACCTTTGCAAAGAGAGATTTCAGAAGACACTCAACTTATCATCAGCCAGGTATCTCGAGAAAGCTCTGAGCTCTGCCTGGGAAGCTGTCTCTTTTTTAAGCAGACAAGGAACAGATAAAACACATCCTGACCAATCACATCACAGAAAACTGTTTCTTATCAGCAGAGCAGCAGAAGATGAAATTTATGGCAGGCCTGCTTCTCAGCCATGCAGCAAAGAAGACAAAGCTTCATTCATCAAGAGTGTGATTAAACATTCAAAGAACCTGTTTAATACAATTGATTGATACAATGATCGATACAAAAATGATAAAATATAAAAATCTTTAACAGTTAACTTTCCCTAAAAACACTCAGAACAAGTTCTATGTCTGTGATGAACAGCTTCTGAGCGCCCAGAATGGATCCACGACAGGTTTTAATAATGGTGGAAATGTTTATGCACTCCCTGCTTGAGCTACAGGTGAGGCGCAGTTTCTTTTTTTGTGTGTGTGAAGAAACACATGCTATTTGTCATTCTTCTTTATTGAATGAGAGAATAGGAGGACAAGTTCTGTGCTGTTGGAATTTATAGCACTGTCTCTCCATTCACAAAAGTGCAGAAAACAGTGGATGAAAGTCAGCAAAGATGCACAGTAAGTTCAGTTTTCCACAATCGGAATAAAATGATCAGATTAAGTGTTCACATGCACGTCGTTTGGATTATCAATCGACATAAACCACCCCTCTAATTAATCCAAATTAATTACAAATTAATTTGGATTGCTCTGAATCAGATCAGAATAATCCGAATGGAGTGCTTTTACTTATGTCAAAACGCAGCTAGTTTCTGCATATGTGCATGAATGGGTGAATGATTGAAAAGTGTTTTGAAGTTTGTGGGTACTTGATAAAACTCCATACAAGTTATTTACCATTCAGCCATTTACCATTTAAATATTGTGACGTCATCACCAGCTCATGTGGTGGTTGGTTCTCTTTCCTTGTGATCCCAGGTTAATTGGCAGCAGCTGAAGCGGTTTCCTGATGAGCTCCTGGTTCCTTTAAAAGGCTCACTTTACATTTGGTCTGCGCTGAAGCATCATTGCTACTTTGGTAGTAAGCTGAGGCCTCCTTGATATTTAATATTAAGTCTTTGCCAAGTAATCATGTTTTGCTTTTTGCTCAGGATTCTATGCCTATGTGTTTTTGCCAAGTGAGTCTCTGGACACCACTCACAACCAAGTCTGGAAACCAAGCCTGCCTGCCAAGGAATCATCACAAATCTCTCACCTGTTCACTTACCTTCCTCATTGGGTCACTCTGCCTGAAGCCTCGGGACTCTGGATTAAGGAGACACTTCCTCCCTCTTGCGAGAGATCCTCAGGAAAAACCTGTAAGGAGAAAACAATTACTCTAAACACAGTTTGCACTTTGGAACTGAAGTTCAACATTAAACTCACCTGTCGCCTTCCCCTCTGTTAAAGCCTGGAATCCCACACTGCACCTGTAAATAAAAGCATGTGCCTTTTCTGTTTCTGAGTGAGCTTTCTGAGTTTCGCTCACTTGTGATGCCCCAGGTTTATGTCAGCTCAGCACTGCTCACACACTTAGCACTCAGTTTTCTCTTCAGTCCTAAGGTTTTCAGCTACAACCATCTCCTTTACATAATATATCTGTTAAAATGCTCTATGTGTTGTCTGAATTTTTGAGTTCTCTCTCTAGTTCGTTACATTTCATGTACAATGTAGTAATTCTGCAGCATCATCTTTTAATCAATTTATCCAGTTTATCCTTTATTTTTTCAGTTAAAAGCCTTGCAATAGTGACAAATATCTTTAGTGAGCATGTTGTGTTTTCTCAGAGCCTGATAATGACTATCAGCTGGAGCACAGCTGAGTCTAAAAGTGAGTTAATAAGATGCAACACAACAGCAGCAAATTATATGGAGATAAGTGTATTTCAACAAATAGATTCAGAATCACAGAAGGACTCCAGCTGGATGTTTACAATGATTTTGTGGCTGAAAGTATACTTTTCAGATTAATGTCAAACTGCAAATTTCGCAAATAACTGTTATGGGTTTGTCTAATTATGATTTTGTTTTAGGGACTGCAAATATTTTGTTATGGTGAAAGAACAAATTCACCCCTCAGCCAAATTTCTGGCGACAATGGATCACAAACAGTTTCATCAGGTGCAGCCATGCAGACTTAAAGCATTCAGCATTTTGCAGCATGTGCACACACTCCTTGTGTATCTGAGCATTAAATGGAATGACAGGAGAGGATAATCTACTGCTTCATGTCATCTGATCCAAAATACTCTAGGTCAGTTGGAAGCTTCTCACATCTTTATCTGCAGCCCTGAGATGGAAGGGATGGGCACTTGCTTTGTTCGGAGCCATCACTTTAGCTGTTGTACACATAGACAAATCCCTGTTATTACTCCTTAGATACAGCTTGACATTTGGCAAAATGTCACGGAGGTTTTGGCTCCCAGTGAGTTTTTACATGCATAGAACATGGGATGAGATGACAGGAAGGGAAGAATAATAACATAGTTGTTGAAAATTACACATGCTCAGGCACTGCAACTCCCACAGATAAAAAACAATGTGCCATTTTTAAAATTATTTTTAGTGCGGGAAAAGCAAATTTTGCATTTGAATCAGCAGTGAGAGTAGGGAACAGGTGGAAGAGAGCCTGGGAAAGGCAACACAGAGGCACTAATGACAGCAAAGGAGGAATAGAGCCTGGGGTCTACCCTACTAGCCAAGACCCAAGATGCAGGCATTTAAAGCATACGTGGAGCGCTATAACCAAGTGGCTGGAATAAAATACAAGGACATCTGTGCCAAGTACGGACTGGATGTTCCTCGGTCAAAGTTGGAGATGCCACCACGGGTAATGGAGACAGGCCAAGGAACTGCGCAACGTCCAGATCCAAAACGCCAAACAGGTGATGGCTAACAACTGGTGGTCGACAAGCCAAGAAGGCAGTGGTGAGAAGTGTAGCAAAATCACGTGACTGTGCAACAGGAAGAAGGAGCATGAGAAGCTTGTAAAACACCAAGGGTTGAAAGAGGAAATACAGACATTGTGGAGAGTCAAAGCGTCAGTGGTCCCAGTTGGAGCACTTGGTGTTGTGACCCCAAAACTGGAAAAGTGGCTTCAAATGATCCCAGAAACAACCTCAGAGGTCTCTGTTCAGAAGACTGCAGTCAAAGGAACAGTTAAGATACTGAAAAAACCTTCAAACTCCCAGGCCTCTGGTAGAAGACCCGAGTTTGAAGTGAAATGGAACCACCCACATGGGTGGGTGGTTGCAAGTTGCAGTAGGGTGAGCTGCAACTTGTAGCTCACTCTACTCTTCTCAGTTCCACTTTACTTCAAGGAAGAAATACTCCATTGATATTTCTTGAGCTTCTTGTGTTTGGGTAGAGATAATTGTGCTGCTGCTAATTGTGCTAGCTGGAGATCTTATTTGTTAAATTTCACTAGTCAAATGACTCACTGTAGAGGTGAATTGTACAGCGGGTAAAATAAGTATTGAACACGTCAMCATTTTTCTCAGTAAATATATTACTAGAGGTGCTAATGACATGAAATTTTCACCAGATGTYGGTAACAACCCAAGTGATCCATACATACAAAGAAATCAAACCATAAATATCCAGAAATTAAGTTATTTGTAATAACGTGGAATGGCACAGGGAAAAAGTATTGAACACATGAAGAAAGGGAGGTGTAAAAAGGCATGGAAAGCCAAGACACCACCTGAACTCTCTCAGTAATTAGAAAGCAAGCCTGCCCCTTGTCAGTGCAAGTTAATATCAGCTAGTTCAGTCCCAAATGATGGCCAGGTATCACACAAGAACCATCTGATGATGGGTAAAAGTAAAGAGCTCTCTCAAGACCTTCACAACCTTAGTATTGCAAAGCACAATGATGGCATTGGTTACAGAAGAATGTCTAAACTTCTGAAGGTTCCAGTGAGCACTGTTGGGGCCATAATTCAGAAGTGGAAAGAACATTATTTCACCATAAACTGACCACGACCAGGCGCTCCTCGCAAGATTTCTGAAAGAGGAGTGAAAATAATTATCAGAAGAGTTGTCCAAGAGCCAAGGACCACTTGTGGAGAGCTTCAGAAAGACCTGGAATTAGCAGGTACGTTTGTTTCAAAGAAAACAATAAGTAATGCACTGAACCACCATGGCCTGTATGCACGCTCACCACGCAAGACTCCACTGCTGAAGAAACAGCATGTTGAAGCTCCTTTAAAGTTTGCTGCACAACATTWAVACAAGCCTGTGTAATACTGGGAGAATATAGTCTGGTCAGATGAGACCAACATTGAACTGTTTGGATGCCAGAATACACATCATGTTTGGAGGTCAAATGGCACTGCACATCAGCCCAAAAACACCATACCAACAGTGAAGTTTGGAGGTGGGAACATCATGTTGTGGGGCTTTTTTTTTCAGCATACTGTATGCTACTGGCAAACTTCAAATAATTGAAGGAAGGATGAGTGGAAAAATGTACAGAGACATTATTGATAAAAAAATCTGCTTCCATCTACCAGGATGATGAAGATGAAATATGGCTGGATATTTCAGCAAGACAATGAGCCCAAACACAAAGCCAAGGAAACTCTCAGTTGGTTTCAGTGAAAGAAACTAAAGCTGCTGGAATGGCCCAGTCAATCACCTGACCCAAATCCAACAGAAAATATATGGAAAGAACTAAAGATCAGAGTTCATAGAAGAGGTCCACGAAACCTTCAAGATTTGAAGACTGTTTGTGTGGAAGAATGGGGCCAAAATCACACCTGAGCAATGCATGCCACTAGTTTCTCCATACAGGAGGCGTCTTGAAGCTGTCATTGAAAACAAAGGCTTTTGCACAAAGTATTAGATAAATTTCAGTAAGTGTGTTCAATACTTTTTCCTGTGCCATTCCACATTATTACAAATAACTTCATTTCTGGACATTTATGTTTGATTTCTTTGTATGTATGGATCACTTGGGTTGTTACCGACATCTGGTGAATATTTCATGTGATTAGGACCTCTAGTAATATATTTACTGAGAAAAACATTGACGTGTTCAATACTTATTTCACCCGCTGTATGCATTTTGACCACAAAACAGGGCTTTTGCTTCTTTTTCAGTGGCTGTTGGCAAAACATAGTTAAAAATCTGTGGAAATGGTGATCTGTAAGTAGCATACAGTATTTATTGTTTAAATGTTGAATGCATAGTGCACTGCAGTGCAGTTGGTGGAACTGTTGCCTCAAAGGCTCATGTCCCAGCCAGGGACCTTTCTGAGTAAAGTTTGCATGTTATCTTTATGCAACCATGAGTTTTCCCTGAATATGGTGGCTTCCTGCCACTGACCAAATACAGTACATGCATTCTAGACTAGTATGGAGGTATTTTTGTGTTTTTACTATTCAATCAAATAAAGCAGCTTTAATCCAAAAAAGTAATTTTAATCAAAAATTTTTTTAAAATAATAATTTTAACCAAAACAAAAGCGACCTTAACCTAATTTTTTTCAACCAAAGAAGCAATTTCAATCGAAAAAAAATTTGTCCAAAAAATTTATTGCAAACCAGAAACTTTATTTTCTCATGTCAGAAATCTTTGATTGAATCTCAAACTTTAGGTTGATACTCTACGTTTTGGGTTGATGCTCTAGAACAGTCAATTAAAGTCTGAAATGTTTCAGAGCACGAGTGGGCGCACAGCTCCGATTGGTTTATCATGCCCACAGAGGGGCATGATAAACCAAACTCTCCACATGGTGACACCGTTGGATTGCAAGCTGCATGGAGGTCTTCTCCAGTGGTTATCAGATGTTGATGATCTGATTAGATCTGCGTGCCCGCTTGTGGTCTAAAATGTTTCAACCTTTAATTAGTTCTCTGTGGTGTAATGAAAATTTCCTGTAAGTTTTATATAAATTTGTTGTGGAACTTTTTGAGATGTAATCCTGAGAAGGCAATGGGGTAGTTTTGTTGCAGTCATACCGCCGAAGAAGCACTCGGGACAATGATGGAGAGCAAGCCGCACAGAGGTCTTCTCCAGGTGGTTCTCGAATATTTACTCTTTTCCCTGGACAACAGAAGAGGGGACAGGAGGGTGGAGGAGGTTAACCTCTGTTGCAGGGCTCTGTTGTCTGTAAAATATCAAAATAAATAAAATTAAATAAATCCACCTTGGATTTTGATGAACCTTCCAGGGAAATTCTATCACTTAAGAGATATGGCTGACAGAAATTTGAGCCAAATCGCATGGTTTGTTTAATAGTTGGATTTTGTTTTTCTAAGAGTACATATATTATGCTCCCCCATCGTCAAATAAACCAAACTTAAAACACACAAAAGCCTTAGTAAATGTTTAATGCACCACAGAGATCAGCTGATTAAAGTTTGAAACGTGTCTGAGCAGACCCGGAAAACTCCATTGTCTGTCTGTTAGCAACTGCTAGCAATGTCTTGGGTGACTACCAGCTACAGCCTGGATCTCCATGCCGCATTATTTTTATTGAATTTTCATTTTTGTTTGGTTGAAATTATCGAAATAATTTGTTGGTTGAATTTTTAACTACTTTTTTGTTTGAATAATAATTTTTAAAAAATACCTCCACATACTATTTATTATCTCTAAACCAGGGGTGCCCAACCAGTCGCTCGCGGGCAACTGGTCGCCCGTCAGCTGTTTCCCAGGTGACCGTGAAGCAAAACCTTGCTGCGGAGCCTCTAGTGCCGGCTCTGAGCATCAGATCCCAGAGTGGCTGGTCTTGTTTGAAAGCTCTGGTTCTGCCCTACAAGGTGGAAGTTGAATGAAGTCCCTGCGACGTTCCCCCGCGGATATATAAGCAAAAAACCTCCAAAATATGCACCGTCTGACCTCCTGCCGGGGTGGTTTCAGCCCCCCTCCTGGGCTAGGAGCGTCGGATCCTGGCATGGCTGTTCGGGTTTTAAAGCCTTGGCTCTGCCCTACAAGGAGAAAGTTGATTGGAGTCCCTGCAACGTTCTAGCGCAGAGATTTAAGCGAAAAACCTCCAAAATTAGGCACCATCGGACCTCCGCCAAGAGTGGTTTTAGCCCCCCTCCCCAGGCTAGGAGCATCGGATCCCAGAATGTCTAGTCGGGTTTTAATGCTCTGGCTCTGCCCTACAAGGGGATACTTGAATGGAATCTCTGTGACATTCCTGCGCGGAGATATAAGCAAATTACGCACGACTTAGTGCATTTTACGTGCTTTTCGGGAGGAAATTTAAACTTTTGTTTGCTTCTCCTGTGGACTCTGAGCATCAGATCCGAGAAAGTGAGATGACTTTGGAAAGCTACGGTCCTCCTCTACAAACTGGAGATAGTTGCAAGTTCCTGGAAAGTCCCCCTGCGGAGCTATTAACCAACGACCGACTGAAATAGGCGCTTTGGCGGGCGATATAGTACTCAATTTACTCCGGAGCCTCTTGCGCCGGCTCTGAGCTTTGGATCCAGGCAGGAGAGGCTCATTTTAATGTTCTGAATCTCCGCTACAACCTGGAGGTAGTTGCAAGTTCCTGGGACGTTCCCACACGGAGATATAAGCGATCAAAAGTCATCAGGCGAGCTCCAGCGAGTGAAATGGCTGATTTCCAGCACGGGGCTGCTTGTGCAGGGGAATAAAAGGAAGAGATCCAGTAAGGTGGAACCGTTGTCGTGCGTCCAGCACCTGCTCTCCCACCTGGATTTAGCCAGAACCCCCTGGCAGGCGATATTTCTGCAATAATGCATAAAATTCAGAAACCCACCTGATGGATCACTTCCAGGGAACAGATTTTGTCAGGTGAAACCGGTCCCAGAAGCTCAGCACCGGGTTTTATAACAGCCTGCGAGAGAGTTTTATATTGTGTGCTTTGACTTTGAAAAAAGGGTAGTACTCTTGTGGTAGCCATGTTGACCCTGATAGTTTTTTCGTTTTTTTCTCCCCTGTATGGAGAGAAGAGAGGAGAGTTCTTTGAATAAACAGAGACGAGTTCCCTTGCTCCAAAGTTATTTGACTCTGTGGTTCTTGCACTGGACAGGGTTTCCAGCCCGCATAGCTCGCACGTTACAGTGAGTACTAATTGAAGGACATAAAAAATGGTACTTTTTGTTCAAGCATCACTTTTCTGTTTCTCTGTCAGGAGTTAAGTAAGGATTTTATCTTTTTTTTTTTTGTAGGTAAACATATGGTTAAGTAGATAGTTTTGTTTGACAATACTTTAGTTTTATTTACTTTAAAGAAGTGAGGAGTAGGGAGACCATATTATGTTTTTTTGATACTGAGACTGGACGAGTAGATCTCGGCAAACTGCTGACTTCAAAAGTAGCTCTTGGTTCAAAAACGGTTGGGCACCCCTGCTCTAAACTGTCTCTTGGTGTGAGAGTGTGAATAGTTGTTTGTTTCGACATGGCCCTGCAATAGACTTGCGACTTGTTCAGTGTGCACCCCACCTCTCACATAACTGCTAAACATAGTCATCGGTGACCCTCCCTGTGACCTGCAGAGGAAAAAGCAGGTTAAAAAATTGATGGATGGATAAAGGTACTTGTCTCAAATGTCTGTAGTGTGAGAGCTCTACACCTAACATGCATGTTTTTTCATAAAACAACCATTATTTTAAATGTTTTGTTTTGTATTGCAAATTTTACACTAAAGCATTTTAAATAATTATTAATATTCATAACATCTGTGCAGAATCAAATAACACAAACCCACTTTATATATGCAGTTTTTACTGGTTTAAGATGTTCTTTAGCTCACTGAACATTCAGTACTACACCATTATTGCTGCCTGACAGTGTTTGTCATTATAATGGTAGCATGAGTTACTTTTGGGTGAATTCTGATGTGTTGGTGGCTACAGAGCATTTTGCACCAAATCCTAGCTGATGAGCTCAGGTCTGTGTTTTAAAGCACACAGTCACACTGTGCTGTAGGCTACGTTCACAAGCACATCCTGCTAATGTGCCTATATAATATGCCCATAAACAGTCCAAAAGAGAGAATAAGCTTGAGGTTTCATTTCATCCAAACAATTGTCATCTTTCTGTAAATTTTCTCGACTTTTCTCAGAGCTGACAAGTGCAGTTATGCATGCATAATCACCAGTGTTATGTAACTAAATAGGTTAATGGTACATGAATAATTTGTATTTGTTATACCCATCACCCCCTCAAGTTTTCTCTTTTGCCATTGTTTCAGTCACACTTCTAAAAGTTTCAGTTGGTTGTTTTATTATTCTGTACTTTTGGCCATAACGCTGAAGCATAATTATTGTGGGAGCAAAGTTTGAATAAATTCTCAGTGATTCTGTCCTAGATTTTGGTTTTATTGTCTCTTTTGTGTTATATAAAATCTGACAGTTTGCCCAACAAATGGCACTGAATGGATATCTGTTTTAATTTTTAAAAAGTGTATTTGTTTTGGTTTACTTGTTTCTTATATTTCTAATAAAACTAACACTGAAGATGTGGCCTCTGTGTTGAGAAGTTGTAGGTACAAATCCCTACACATTTTAGCTACATTTCCTGCTTGTTCCACAAAAACCAGGTTACACATTATTTGCTTTTGTTTTGTTAGAGTAATACAATCTTGATACTCCTTTCTGCTTTGACGAAACGTGACAAGAAAAACAAGATGTATTTAAAAAACAAAGAATCACACCAATAAAAAATAAGTCAATAAGATTATAACATTTGTTATTTTTCTTATTCCAAAAATCTTTTCATGGTTACTGCAAGTTTCCATGCTTGTAAAGGTCTTTGTGCAATTGTGCACACATGCTGTTTCTCTGTCCAATTGGACACTAATAAGACATTTAACTGCTGCAGCCATCCTAAAAGTTGCTTTTTTTTAAATTATTTTTCAGATGAAAGGGACAGTTTCAGCAGTCAAAGAGAGACATAACAGAGAGTCAGGAGAAGAAATTGCGCACAGAGTTACTTACTCACCTAAAATTGCATCATCTTGAACTTGGTTATGTGATGGGAGGAAGCAAGAACTGACCCTCTCTGTTTGCAGTGTGTGTAATTAACAGTGCCATCTGTTTGCTGTAGGCTTTCTGAGACTCTGAGGTGAGAACAGCACAGGAGCAGCATGGCTGTCCGTTCTCATTTACACTCAAATCATTACATTGGTGATTAATAGCTTTTCTCTCTCTCTCTCTCTCTCTCTCTCTCTCTCTCTCTCTCTCTCTCTCTCTCNTCTCTCTCTCTCTCTCTCTCTCTCTCTCTCTCTCTCTCTCTCTCTCTCTCTCTCTGTTTATTTCTTTTCCTGGAAAATGCTCACCCAGATAAAGCCATCATCAACTAACTGCTCTATTTTCTTCTGCTTTTTTATGGCTCCTCTTAATTCCCTTTGTGAGCGACTCGCTCTCTCAATTGCCAGTTCATGGCAACATATTCTTTACTGTGCTACATTTCTTCTTACTGGAAATATTTTTAATCACTTCTTTTTTGTGTATCGTTCAGCTTTTCTCTTTTTTTGTCCTCCTCTTCTCCACATTCTGGGCTCTAAGCAGGACTGCTGGACTCTCAGAGGAGAAGTGCAGCTTTAAATGATGAGCTTGTTAACGAGGTCACTGATAATTCAGCTAATTAGCTGTCATATCACCTACAGCTGCAGTCCCAGCAGCTCGATAACACCGCTAGTCAGAGAGTGAGAGGAAGATAGTAGGAGAGAAACACTCCCCACATGCACAGCTGTACCTGCACAATCAACAGGAAAATAAGTTAACAAAGTTAAGTCATCTGCATAGAATGATTACGTCTCTACCTAGATGGGACTGTACAACATTTCCCTTTCTTGTCCCACAAACTGCCTGTAGCTCTGACATTTAGAAAGTCGATATTACAGGTTATTATTATAAAAAGTGTCTTGTAAAAAAAGTCTGTGAATGACATTGTAACTGTCTCGGGTTGTTCTGAACATCTTGACTTGTGGTACAATCTCTCTGGATGATGTTAACATATGATGTTTACACTCTAGGCACCCTGGCATTCCAAAAGGGGACACCCTGCTTAAAGGCACAGTGTGTAGGATTTGTTGTTTTCAGCGACATCTAGTGGTTGAGTGGTTGAATCATCCTCTCTGGTCCTCCCCCAACCCCCTGCTTCCAAATGCAAAGGAGTTGCTACAGTGTCTCTCAGGTGTCAAAAACATTTGATAATTCCATCCACGATGTCTACCAGCAGATT